AGTTTGCATTCCCACCAGCAGTGCAGGAGAGTTCCTTTTTCTCCACATCTTCGCCAATATTTGTTGTTGCCAGTTGTTTGAAGATGTGCCATTCTCACTGGGATGAGGTATCTCATTGTGGTTTTAGTTTGCATCTCCCTTATGACAAGTGATGTTGAACATTTTTTCATAGGCTTGTTGGCCATCTGCATTTCCTCTTTGGAGAAGTTTATTCCCTTAATTGGGGAGGCAGATATCACTTGACCTCCATCCTCCTGGCTACTCTGTTGAACCTTTTTTGAAAACCTGGTGTCAGGTGTATCGGCTCTATGCACATGGGATAATGCTGGTAACCGCATCAGCACCCCCTACAGGGCATGGTACCCCAGTCCCAAGCCTGGGGCCCACAGCACCCATTTGTCTTTTCAGTCAAAGGAGCTGTTGGCCCCAGGATGCTGCAGACAGAGCTCTTGTCACTGTCGACTCTACATTGTTGCTTCTGTCACGTTGACTGGTCCTTAGCTTGCAGCCCTGCTCTGAAGCACAACCTGTCTACTGCATTTGAATACGTTTTAATTGGTTCTCAACTTTTGAAGTTCATGAGCCAGAAGGACTTGGGAGCAATGTGCCTTTTTCATGGGGCAAGGGTTTCCTCCATCAGGATCTCACCCCCGGGATTTGCATTTCTGTTCTTTCCAGAATGTCTGCAAGTTTACCTGCTACTTTTATCCTCTCCATGCTTCAGCAACTTTGTCCAGACCAGCACTTTGCTCTGACATGCTGACAGTTTCCTTAACCTGTTCCCACTCATCTCTGAGCCAAAGCAGGGTGCTTCGTGGGAAGCTCCCTGAACCCCTGCACCCACAGATGAATCTACCTTCGCTGCTTTCAGTGAGTTTGATTTTGCACCCTGCCTCCAGGTGTCCTCTGTAGAAACACGACTTGGAATTCTAGGAGCTTATGAAAAAGAAACATAAACATAATGGCCAAACCAAAACACAACAGCTACATCAAGGAAAAAAGCTTTTAAATATTTTTGAAAACAAATTTACTCTTTCTGGCAGGGTGTTCACAACGGGAAGTAGCGAAGCTTCACTGAATTCTAACCACAAGGTCACATCAGCTCTCCTGACAAGTGCTGCTGCAGACGTTAAATAGGGGATGAGCTGCTTTCCACCCAGAATCAGGAAAGTGGGGGAAACTCAAGGCTCACGTGCTGGGGGGACCAGAACTACACCGTGACACTTTCTGGTTTCTCACAGCTTGAGACGTTTCTTCTCCAAGCTCCTCCTGACGGCGGCAGGGAACAGTCTGGTGCCCTCACGCCCTTGGGACCAGAGAAGTCAGCCCCCCCCACTGCCCTCAGCTTCCTCAGGCTTCTCTGCCGTGGCCCTCGCCTCCAGCAACTTCTTATTTCCATTCTCAGCACAGCCCCTAAGGCGTGTTAATGACTGCTAGTCTGGCTCTAAAACCAGTCTCAGGCTTCCAGGAGGTTCCTGAATACCGTTCACACTGGTCCCTGCTGCAACAGCCAAACTGCTCCCAGGAACCGTGGAGGGCGGCTTCCAGGCTCTGCCGATGGGGTCAGACAGGTGCCTCCCAGCAGGCCAATCCTTTCTTCTTCCTCTTTGTCTCTAGACAAACCCCATCTTGACAGTTTGGAAGATCCCCCTGGAAGACTCATTTTTTTTTATGTATTTATTTATGCATACAAGAACTGGGGTACAGGCCAGAGGTGCAGGGGTGGGAGATGGTGAGAGGATTCCCCAGAGACAGACGGGGGAGCAGGACAGGTGGATCCACTGAAACCCACTGCTGAGCAGAGCAGTGGGCAGAGGGAGAGAACTGCTGTGCCCTGGGGGTCCATCCCTGGCTGGGGAGGAGTTCATGCTGCAGCGGCTGTGGACAGCTTCACAATGCTGGGATTTAACCCCTGCGCCACCAGGGAGGGCC